TCTGTTCTAGTTCTGTTCTACTTCTGTTCTAGTTCTGTTCCAGTTCTGTTCTAGTTCTGTCCTAGTTCTGTTCTAGTTACGGTATATAAATAAACACTAGAACACAAAAGAATCTAGACGAATGTAGGGCGTGCGAAGATGACAGTGATACTCTGGAATACTTTCATTGTCACGATTATACCCCGTTGTTAGTGAGAGCGGAGGCAGTCGTCATCTTACTGTTCCCAAATAATCCAGAGAGTGTACACTTAACAAAAACATAAGCGAAAAAGTTCATTGCTATATATTGACACCATTGGACTAGTTTTCTAACAGTCTCTTTGTAATCTATGGAAAGACAATTTTCCTCCTTGGACAAGCATATTCTAAAGTAGCTAGTATCTGGGAAGTCGGGTGGTAATAGCTAGATCGGGACTGTCCCTTCGAACTTCTGGGCAAATACATAAATCACTTTTGTTTAAAATTATATTTAATTTTTAATATTACATTGGAGTTTGTACATTAATTGAAAACCTCAAAAATCGCTTAACTATTTCAACTACAAAAGAATGGCAAATTCCCCTAGAAATCAAATTTTAATCAAATTCTTTAACTACGACAACAGCTGGCATAAGTAAAACAAGTAGCAACTAAAAAAATAACTTAAATATTAAAATACTGGTTATAAGTACAAACGTACGATAGTATAACGATTACTCTTTCAAAGTTCATACTAGCTGTTATAATAACAATTGTGTTTGTACTAATAACAATATAATCACAATATTCCCTTTTTCCATGCCCTTTAAGTAAAACATAGTACAAAGTAAAGTGCAGAGCGACAGGGTCATAATTGTAATGTGTCCCTATAGCAGCTGTTATGGCAACTTAATTCTAAGTGGATAAATTATGCGTTAATAATACAAAGAAACAAAATTGCAAATTTTGTTGTGTTTGTTTTTTAGTTCTTTCTCCCTTACATTAAAAATATCAGTTTTATCTTTGTGGCAGAATGTCACACATAGTAGTGACATTGTCTCGAGGGCATTTTGTCTGTCTGGCAAGTTGGTAAATGTTGTGAATATATTAAATTGTTTTATTTACAACTTAATTCAGATTTTGGTTAACTAAGTAAGAAATGAAATTTATTTAAATTTCTTTTATACTTTTTGTGCAATTTGGCGTTTTAATAATGTAAAAGATTAGAGCTATTGCCACACGGCTGACCAGAATCAAAGAAACCATTAACAAAACTTCTGACGCAAATATAGAAGTTATTTCGAAGGGTAGCCTTGTATTTATGGGCATTAGGGTTCCTCTGAAACGATACATATCAGGCATGGAAAATTTAAATTTTGGAATAGTACTAACTTATAATACAAATAGTACTATTTATACCTATAGACCAGAATGAAGACTAGACTATAGACTAGACTATAGACTAGACTATATACTAGACTATATACTAGACTATGGACTAGACTATAGACTAGACTATAGACTAGACTGTAGACTAGACTATAGACTAGACTATTGACTAGACTATAGACTAGACTATAGACTAGACTATAGACTAGACTATAGACTAGACTATAGACTAGACTATAGACTAGACTATAGACTAGACTATAGACTAGACTATAGACTAGACTATAGACTAGACTATAGACTAGACTATAGACTAGACTATAGACTAGACTATAGACTAGACTATAGACTAGACTATAGACTAGACTATAGACTAGACTATAGACTAGACTATAGACTAGACTATAGACTAGACTATAGACTAGACTATAGACTAGACTATAGACTAGACTATAGACTAGACTATAGACTAGACTATAGACTAGACTATAGACTAGACTATAGACTAGACTATAGACTAGACTATAGACTAGACTATAGACTAGACTATAGACTAGACTATAGACTAGACTATAGACTAGACTATAGACTAGACTATAGACTAGACTATAGACTAGACTATAGACTAGACTATAGACTAGACTATAGACTAGACTATAGACTAGACTATAGACTAGATAGACTAGACTATAGACTAGACTATAGACTAGACTATAGACTAGACTATAGACTAGACTAAAGACTAGACTATAGACTAGACTATAGACTAGACTATAGACTAGACTATAGACTAGACTATAGACTAGACTATAGACTAGACTATAGACTAGACTATAGACTAGACTATAGACTAGACTATAGACTAGACTATAGACTAGACTATAGACTAGACTATAGACTAGACTATAGACTAGACTATAGACTAGACTATAGACTAGACTATAGACTAGACTATAGACTAGACTATAGACTAGACTATAGACTAGACTATAGACTAGACTATAGACTAGACTATAGACTAGACTATAGACTAGACTATAGACTAGACTATAGACTAGACTATAGACTAGACTAGACTAGACTATAGACTAGACTATAGACTAGACTATAGACTAGACTATAGACTAGACTATAGACTAGACTATAGACTAGACTATAGACTAGACTATAGACTAGACTATAGACTAGACTATAGACTATAGACTAGACTATAGACTAGACTATAGACTAGACTATAGACTAGACTATAGACTAGACTATAGACTAGACTATAGACTAGACTATAGACTAGACTATAGACTAGACTATAGACTAGACTATAGACTAGACTATAGACTAGACTATAGACTAGACTATAGACTAGACTATAGACTAGACTATAGACTAGACTATAGACTAGACTATAGACTAGACTATAGACTAGACTATAGACTAGACTATAGACTAGACTATAGACTAGACTATAGACTAGACTATAGACTAGACTATAGACTAGACTATAGACTAGACTATAGACTAGACTATAGACTAGACTATAGACTAGACTATAGACTAGACTATAGACTAGACTATAGACTAGACTATAGACTAGACTATAGACTAGACTATAGACTAGACTATAGACTAGACTATAGACTAGACTATAGACTAGACTATAGACTAGACTATAGACTAGACTATAGACTAGACTATAGACTAGACTATAGACTAGACTATAGACTAGACTATAGACTAGACTATAGACTAGACTATAGACTAGACTATAGACTAGACTATAGACTAGACTATAGACTAGACTATAGACTAGACTATAGACTAGACTATAGACTAGACTATAGACTAGACTATAGACTAGACTATAGACTAGACTATAGACTAGACTATAGACTAGACTATAGACTAGACTATAGACTAGACTATAGACTAGACTATAGACTAGACTATAGACTAGACTATAGACTAGACTATAGACTAGACTATAGTCTAGTCTATAGACTAGACTATAGACTAGACTATAGACTAGACTATAGACTAGACTATAGACTAGACTATAGACTAGACTATAGACTAGACTATAGACTAGACTATAGACTAGACTATAGACTAGACTATAGACTAGACTATAGACTAGACTAGACTAGACTATAGACTAGACTATAGACTAGACTATAGACTAGACTATAGACTAGACTATAGACTAGACTATAGACTAGACTATAGACTAGACTATAGACTAGACTATAGACTAGACTATAGACTAGACTATAGACTAGACTATAGACTAGACTATAGACTAGACTATAGACTAGACTATAGACTAGACTATAGACTAGACTATAGACTAGACTATAGACTAGACTATAGACTAGACTATAGACTAGACTATAGACTAGACTATAGACTAGACTATAGACTAGACTATAGACTAGACTATAGACTAGACTATAGACTAGACTATAGACTAGACTATAGACTAGACTATAGACTAGACTATAGACTAGACTATAGACTAGACTATAGACTAGACTATAGACTAGACTATAGACTAGACTATAGACTAGACTATAGACTAGACTATAGACTAGACTATAGACTAGACTATAGACTAGACTATAGACTAGACTATAGACTAGACTATAGACTAGACTATAGACTAGACTATAGACTAGACTATAGACTAGACTATAGACTAGACTATAGACTAGACTATAGACTAGACTATAGACTAGACTATAGACTAGACTATAGACTAGACTATAGACTAGACTATAGACTAGACTATAGACTAGACTATAGACTAGACTATAGACTAGACTATAGACTAGACTATAGACTAGACTGTAGACTAGACTATAGACTAGACTATAGACTACACTATAGACTAGACTATAGACTAGACTATAGACTAGACTATAGACTAGACTATAGACTAGACTGTAGACTAGACTATAGACTAGACTATAGACTAGACTATAGACTAGACTATAGACTAGACTATAGACTAGACTATAGACTAGACTATAGACTAGACTGTAGACTAGACTATAGACTAGACTATAGACTAGACTATAGACTAGACTATAGACTAGACTATAGACTTGACTGTAGACTAGACTATAGACTAGACTATAGACTAGACTATAGACTAGACTATAGACTAGACTATAGACTAGACTATAGACTAGACTAAAGACTAGACTATAGACTAGACTATAGACTAGACTATAGACTAGACTATAGACTAGACTATAGACTAGACTATAGACTAGACTATAGACTGGTCTATAGTCCGAAAGAACCAGTTACCGTATTAGTTTTGTAAAGGTTTCCTTCCCATTTCTGCGACTTCTTTATATCAAAACATAGAAAAACTTATATGTTTATATTGTTCTTCATTAAAATCTCTTAGAAAATTCTAAACTTTGACTTTATGTTAAAGTAGTTGTTTGCAGTTGTTTATAGCATGAGATACTTGATACTTATATGTGTCTAGTATAAATACTTATGTTGTATGTTAAAAGTTTCCTCGAACTTTTTATCTACATATCTAGTACTTCTCACATAATTCATATTTTTTTAGCTAAGTAGTTTCTTTTATAAGATATATTTTTTTTGAGTTTTGTTAAACAAGTATCGTGAAGGAGTGAACTTACGGTGTTGTTGTTGTGGCCTTCTTTGTGAAAGTTTCCTTCTTTGTGGTGGTGTTTCTGTTTCGCTAAGTCTGGGTTCACTGGTGCAGTATGAACGAGTTTCTTGTAAATTATGCTGCATTTGTTGTTGCTGTTGGGGACGCCTTCGAACCTAGAAAGAATGAAAAAAATAAATTCTTATTAATTATAAAGATTTCTAATTATGAATATAGCAAATACAAACATATATTTTATAAATATGTACATAACAAATTGTAAATTATAAACAAAAATAATTTATTAACTTTCCCTCTTCAATATTTAAACAACCCAATGCTTTCTTGGTTTAATTTGATTACTTTAATCCATGCAAGTATCAATTCACAAAATTACTAATTTCTTTTGTTATGTTTATTAATGAAAATCTTTTAGTCACGTAATAGTTTTGACCTCTTTTTTTCTAACAATAGACAATTCTCCTTGGATTTGGTGGCAACCTGTTAAATTAATTATTGACTTAATTCAATTAATTACATACCTATAGACCTACTTACGTATATACTAGGTATTTGTTTAGCTTTTTAGGGCAATTATATTGTGTTAATCCCATACGCCTGTATATTTAATCAAAATATTTAGGAATATTTTAACCAAAAGTGGAACAAAAAAACATTGGCGTGTAAGTGTCATTTCTTAATTATCAAAATAAACATAAATATGCTCAAAAAAACTAACATTTACATTAGAAACCAGTAAAAAATGTGACAATGTCACTATTAGCAATCCAGAAAGTTTTGTGTTAGGAATGAGGGTGTTCAGAAAATAACACGTACATGGTCAAGTAATATTCTTATTCTTGGTATCACGGAATCCTAAAGAATTATAGTTTTGTATATAGTCTAGTCTATAGTCTAGTCTATAGTCTAGTCTATAGTCTAGTCTATAGTCTAGTCTATAGTCTAGTCTATAGTCTAGTCTATAGTCTAGTCTATAGTCTAGTCTATAGTCTAGTCTATAGTCTAGTCTATAGTCTAGTCTATAGTCTAGTCTATAGTCTAGTCTATAGTCTAGTCTATAGTCTAGTCTATAGTCTAGTCTATAGTCTAGTCTATAGTCTAGTCTATAGTCTAGTCTATAGTCTAGCCTATAGTCTAGTCTATAGTCTATAGTCTCTAGTCTATAGTCTAGCCTATAGTCTAGTCTATAGTCTAGCTATAGTCTAGTCTATAGTCTAGTCTATAGTCTAGTCTATAGTCTAGTCTATAGTCTAGTCTATAGTCTAGTCTATAGTCTAGTCTATAGTCTAGTCTATAGTCTAGTCTATAGTCTAGTCTATAGTCTAGTCTATAGTCTAGTCTATAGTCTAGTCTATAGTCTAGTCTATAGTCTAGCCTATAGTCTAGTCTATAGTCTAGTCTATAGTCTAGCCTATAGTCTAGTCTATATCGTCTATAGTCTAGTCTATAGTCTAGTCTATAGTCTAGTCTATAGTCTAGCCTATAGTCTAGTCTATAGTCTAGTCTATAGTCTAGCCTATAGTCTAGTCTATAGTCTAGTCTATAGTCTAGTCTATAGTCTAGTCTATAGTCTAGTCTATAGTCTAGTCTATAGTCTAGTCTATAGTCTAGTCTATAGTCTAGTCTATAGTCTAGTCTATAGTCTAGTCTATAGTCTAGTCTATAGTCTAGTCTATAGTCTAGTCTATAGTCTAGTCTATAGTCTAGTCTATAGTCTAGTCTATAGTCTAGTCTATAGTCTAGTCTATAGTCTAGTCTATAGTCTAGTCTATAGTCTAGTCTATAGTCTAGTCTATAGTCTAGTCTATAGTCTAGTCTATAGTCTAGTCTATAGTCTAGTCTATAGTCTAGTCTATAGTCTAGTCTATAGTCTAGTCTATAGTCTAGTCTATAGTCTAGTCTATAGTCTAGTCTATAGTCTAGTCTATAGTCTAGTCTATAGTCTAGTCTATAGTCTAGTCTATAGTCTAGTCTATAGTCTAGTCTATAGTCTAGTCTATAGTCTAGTCTATAGTCTAGTCTATAGTCTAGTCTATAGTCTAGTCTATAGTCTAGTCTATAGTCTAGTCTATAGTCTAGTCTATAGTCTAGTCTATTGTCTAGTCTATAGTCTAGTCTATAGTCTAGTCTATAGTCTAGTCTATAGTCTAGTCTATAGTCTAGTCTATAGTCTAGTCTATAGTCTAGTCTATAGTCTAGTCTATAGTCTAGTCTATAGTCTAGTCTATAGTCTAGTCTATAGTCTAGTCTATAGTCTAGTCTATAGTCTAGTCTATAGTCTAGTCTATAGTCTAGTCTATAGTCTAGTCTATAGTCTAGTCTATAGTCTAGTCTATAGTCTAGTCTATAGTCTAGTCTATAGTCTAGTCTATAGTCTAGTCTATAGTCTAGTCTATAGTCTAGTCTATAGTCTAGTCTATAGTCTAGTCTATAGTCTAGTCTATAGTCTAGTCTATAGTCTAGTCTATAGTCTAGTCTATAGTCTAGTCTATAGTCTAGCCTATAGTCTAGTCTATAGTCTAGTCTATAGTCTAGTCTATAGTCTAGTCTATAGTCTAGTCTATAGTCTAGTCTATAGTCTAGCCTATAGTCTAGTCTATAGCCTAGTCTATAGTCTAGCCTATAGTCTAGTCTATAGTCTAGTCTATAGTATAGTCTATAGTCTAGTCTATAGTCTAGTCTATAGTCTAGTCTAGTCTAGTCTATAGTCTAGTCTATAGTCTAGTCTATAGTCTAGTCTATAGTCTAGTCTATAGTCTAGTCTATAGTCTAGTCTATAGTCTAGTCTAGTCTAGTCTATAGTCTAGTCTATAGTCTAGTCTATAGTCTAGTCTATAGTCTAGTCTATAGTCTAGTCTATAGTCTAGTCTATAGTCTAGTCTATAGTCTAGTCTATAGTCTAGTCTATAGTCTAGTCTATAGTCTAGTCTATAGTAGTCTATAGTCTAGTCTATAGTCTAGTCTATAGTCTAGTCTATAGTCTAGTCTATAGTCTAGTCTATAGTCTAGTCTATAGTCTAGTCTATAGTCTAGTCTATAGTCTAGTCTATAGTCTAGTCTATAGTCTAGCCTATAGTCTAGTCTATAGTCTAGTCTATAGTCTAGCCTATAGTCTAGTCTATAGTCTAGCCTATAGTCTAGTCTATAGTCTAGTCTATAGTCTAGCCTATAGTCTAGTCTATAGTCTAGCCTATAGTCTAGTCTATAGTCTAGTCTATAGTCTAGTCTATAGTCTAGTCTATAGTCTAGTCTATAGTCTAGTCTATGGTCTAGTCTATAGTCTAGTCTATAGTCTAGTCTATAGTCTAGTCTATAGTCTAGTCTATAGTCTAGTCTATAGTCTAGTCTATAGTCTAGTCTATAGTCTAGTCTATAGTCTAGTCTATAGTCTAGTCTATAGTCTAGTCTATAGTCTAGTCTATAGTCTAGTCTATAGTCTAGTCTATAGTCTAGTCTATAGTCTAGTCTATAGTCTAGTCTATAGTCTAGTCTATAGTCTAGTCTATAGTCTAGTCTATAGTCTAGTCTATAGTCTAGTCTATAGTCTAGTCTATAGTCTAGTCTATAGTCTAGTCTATAGTCTAGTCTATAGTCTAGTCTATAGTCTAGTCTATTGTCTAGTCTATAGTCTAGTCTATAGTCTAGTCTATAGTCTAGTCTATAGTCTAGTCTATAGTCTAGTCTATAGTCTAGTCTATAGTCTAGTCTATAGTCTAGTCTATAGTCTAGTCTATAGTCTTGTCTATAGTCTAGTCTATAGTCTAGTCTATAGTCTAGTCTATAGTCTAGTCTATAGTCTAGTCTATAGTCTAGTCTATAGTCTAGTCTATAGTCTAGTCTATAGTCTAGTCTATAGTCTAGTCTATAGTCTAGTCTATAGTCTAGTCTATAGTCTAGTCTATAGTCTAGTCTATAGTCTAGTCTATAGTCTAGTCTATAGTCTAGTCTATAGTCTAGTCTATAGTCTAGTCTATAGTCTAGTCTATAGTCTAGTCTATAGTCTAGTCTATAGTCTAGTCTATAGTCTAGTCTATAGTCTAGTCTATAGTCTAGTCTATAGTCTAGTCTATAGTCTAGTCTATAGTCTAGTCTATAGTCTAGTCTATAGTCTAGTCTATAGTCTAGTCTATAGTCTAGTCTATAGTCTAGTCTATAGTCTAGTCTATAGTCTAGTCTATAGTCTAGTCTATAGTCTAGTCTATAGTCTAGTCTATAGTCTAGTCTATAGTCGTCTATAGTCTAGTCTATAGTCTAGTCTATAGTCTAGTCTATAGTCTAGTCTATAGTCTAGTCTATAGTCTAGTCTATAGTCTAGTCTATGGTCTAGTCTATAGTCTAGTCTATAGTCTAGTCTATGGTCTAGTCTATAGTCTAGTCTATAGTCTAGTCTATAGTCTAGTCTATAGTCTAGTCTATAGTCTAGTCTATAGTCTAGTCTATAGTCTAGTCTATAGTCTAGTCTATAGTCTAGTCTATAGTCTAGTCTATAGTCCAGTCTAGGTTTTCGTTAAGGAAAATGCAGTAGTGGTTGTAGTCCTATGAAACTATTTTAATATTCTCCGTAAACGCTTATAAGAAATCCCTATATTAATCAAATAACAATCGCCTGAACTATTGATATTATTGCTTAATATACTTGAGCATACAACAACAACGACCATTAAGCATAAAAACATAACATTAAGAGACCACAAAAACCAAAAAAAATATGAAACAAAAATAATAATAAAGCCGCCATACCATTATGGGTCTATTAATGGTCACGAATAAAAGGAAATGATAAAAACACTCCAGTTGCTTTTGGCAGAACATTTGGCAGGTTATAGAAAAAAAATATTACCGCGTTATGCAAATTAACAAATGTGGTCTAAAAATTCATTTTTAAATATTCTCATGTTTTGCATAAAAAGTATGAATGATTGCTTGGAGCGCAATTGGAACTAGTTATAAGTACGTTGCAACGCGTTGTATCTTCTGAATACATAAATACACTATGTAATTTTTAACTGACTCTTATCATGCATAGGGGGCCCTATTGACAACTTTTAAACAATCTTTGTTAGATGCAGGATATAATGCTGATCAATATTTTTTCTCAATTTTAAGTTTTTAAAACTGCAGGGTTTTATTCGTATTACGCATATGCCTCAATTTA